GGCGAATCACCGAGCGGTTCCGCGAAGAAAAAATAGATCTCCCAAAGTTACAGGTCTCGAGGATGCTGAATGCCAAGGCAAAAAGGTGATGGAAGAGGTCAAAGGGTGGCTCACCGAGTAGTTCGGTGAGCCCGACTTACTTCGCCAAATGGTCCTTCGTGGCTTATTTTTTGGCGACTATAAATTAGATTTTGAACATTTAGCTATTTATCTATCTATCTTTTATTTAGAACATTCAGTACACTTTTCTCTGTAGTTTTTCATAGTTTTGAAGAATTTTAGGGATCCAATTAGGAGATTTTGGAAGTGGGTTTCGAAGATTTGAAAAATTGAAGCATTATAAAGAGTAAATCACTCTTACCCAAATGATGAATAATCGAGTCGGTAACTATTTTTACCTTTTTATGATGTTCGGCTAAAACCCAATTTTTGGAGTGTGATCATGTGATTATAGGTTGAATTAGTTTATGGGTATTGTTAATTACTAGTTTGAGTGTTATTTTGAAGTGAGTTTAATCATTAATTGTAATTTAATTTATGAATTGTAGTTGCAAATGCAGTTCTATGTTTGTGTTCTTGGCTTTCTCGAGAGAGAGGTTTTAGAACTAAGATTATTGTTTAATGATTTGTGGTATTAGGTTAAGCTAAGTTTAGCTCGATAGAGTGAATCCTAAACCCAATTCCACCCATCTAGCTCGAGATAGTGGATTAATTAAGCTGTGGGGTATTCTTCATTGCTATGCTTATTGATGTTCGAAAGAAATCACCTGATTCGGGATAGTTGTTCGAAAGAAAACTATCTTCTTTATAGTCTAGCCTACTCACTGATCTTTAGCTATTTACTAGTAGTTTCAATTACCATCTATCTATATTTGCCTATAATCGATCATATCTCGAGAATCTCTCTCCCTATTGTTATCTCAAAGTGTTTGTGACTACTGTGTAGTTGATAATTGCAAACTAAATCCCCATCTGACATTCGTGTCACCCTTTCTTTTTCGATAATTTCTATTCCTATGACTGATTAGACCACGTTTGCACTTCCTAATTGAATTTGAAACACGTATCGCTCCCTGTGAGATTTGACCCCAACTCGTTTTGCTTGGTTTTAGACTAATTTACGATCGTTGACACCTAGAATTGGATGAGGTGTGCTTGAAACTTAAAAAATCAAAATGGCGCTGCTGCCGGGGAGTGGTGTTGTTTGAACTTCTTTTGGTGAAGTTGAATTGTGTTCTTTTTAGTTATAGTTGGATCTATGATTAATAATGTTTCAAAGACACTTCATCCAATTCTAAGCGTCAACGATCGTTAATCAGTATAATAACCCAACTAAATGAGTTGGGGTCGAATCCCACAGGGAGTTGTACGTGTTTAAGAATCAAGAGCAAAGTACGAATATGTTCAAGTCAATCATAGGAATACACATTATCGAAGAAAAACATAATTCAAATTAAAGGGTGACACGAATGTCAAATAACATGGGGGGTTTTGACTGTAATTATCAACTACAATAGTAGCATATAACATGAAGCAACAATTATTGAGACTGGTTCTTGGGATGTGATTGGATTATAGGCCTACAACAACAACAAATAATACGAAGATGACAATAATGAGACGGGTTCTTGGAGTGTGATTTGATTATAGGCTAAGGTAGACAAATGGGTAATTGTAACTGTTAATAAATAGCTGTAAATCAGTGAATAAGCTAGACTTTAGTGGGGATAAACTTTCTCTCGAACAATTTACCCCGAATCAAGTTAGTTTCTCTCGAACACCAACAAGCAAGCAATTAAGAACAACCTACGCTTTAGTCCATTCACTCTCTCGAGCTGAATGTGTGGAAAAGGGTTTAGGATTCACTTTCTCGAGCTGAACCCATGACAACCCAATACCCACAGACCATCAATTCAGTAATCTTGGTTTTAAAACCTCTCTCTCAAGCATGCCAAAAAAATGATAGTAAAATTGCATTTGCAACTACAACCCTTTAAATTAAACCACAATTACTGAATGAAATCACTTCTAAACAATATTTAAACTAACAATTAGCAATACCCATCAACTAAATCAATCCATAATCACATAATCACACCCCAAAAATTGGGGTTTTAGCTAGACATCGTAAAACAATAAAAATTGTTACCCAGTGGTATTTCCACCAACTGGGTAAGACTAATTTAGTCTTTACAAAGGTCCAAACTGAAGAATCTCAAAGACCAACTTCCAATTTCTCAAAAATAGAAAACTTCAATTCTTCAAAGCTAAGGAAAACTTAGTCTCAACACTCAGAAATTTCAAAATGTAAAGAAAAACATATCTCTTCTGAAAACTGATTGACAAAAGATATTAATAATAATGTTTGACAATGTATTTATAGTCACCAAAAAATATGCTGCGAAGGGCCATTTGGCGCAGTAAGTTGGGATCACCGATCAGCTCAGTGATCCGCCCTTTGGTCAGTTTCATCGCCTTTTTGCTTTGGCCTTCAGCATCCTTAAATTCTGTAACTTTGGGCGATCCAACATTGCATCGCGGAACCACTCGGCGACACGCCGACTGCTCCTTTCTCTCGCCGACTGGATTTTCTCCTTCAGGGCTTGGCACGCTGGAACTTTAGGCGAGAAAATAGCCATTCGGCGACTCGCCCTAGATTAGGCAATCAACAGGTCTTCTTTTCTTCGTTCTTTCAGGTGCCTTGTTCCTTTTTGCTCATTAGTGTCCATGCTTCGTTCCTCAATCCAAATACCTGGAAATCAAGAATTTTACATCAGTTATTGGCACAAAATAAGTATTTGAGGACAGTTAATCTATCCAAATAAAGCCCTAAATGAGTCCAAATTGTGGACTCATCAACACCCCCAACTTAAACTTTTGCTTGTCCTCAAGTAAAACTCAAGTTCAGCAGTTCAAAAAAGGATGTCTCAAACAATGCTACATAAGACTCAATCATGAATGCACACAAAAAGACTCAACTTACTCATGAAAGGATCAATTGTGCACTCAAAGATTCAAGTTGTGACTCACCATTATGAAAGATTCTCAAGTTCACAATACTTGCTTCAAATGCAAGTTCAAGCTCAACAAAGGTACTCAACTGCCCTCACACAAAGAATGATTCCATATTCACACACAATGGTTCAACAACTTATAGCTCTGGAATCACTATCAACACTCACACTCAAAAAGATAAACACAATGCATGATTTCACCCATAGGTTTGCCCTTATTTTCCAACCAACAATTGTTTCAGCTCACTCAAGATCAAAAAGGTCTTTTCAAGGATTCTAACGGGGCTGCGTGCAAGGGTATGGTCATTTAGGCTCAATGGCTATAATCCTCATGAAATGTGGTATGAACAATTCTTTCTTCCCTTTTCTTCATCATTTGTCACTCATGCTCAAAAGTTACCCCCTTATTCACTTTCGATAGACTACTGGATACCCCATTTCTGTTTGCATTTTCACGACTTTATTCAACAACTTTTTCATTCTTCTCTTCTTTTTCTCTTTTTTTTGTATGGAGGGGTTTCCATCTTTCTCAAAACCATGGGTCAAAGGGGAATTCTTTGCATTTCTTGATTTACCCTCTCTTTTCACCATACCCCCAACTTAGATTTTTGGCCTAAGTTGGCTATTCAAACAAGCCACAAATCATGAGGATTAAAGAAAGGTCACAATTTGCATCAAGTTTCTTCCAAGAAAAAGGGTAAGGCTCAAAGGGTGTTCAAGCAAAGGGTCACACACTCACAAGGTTGGCCACAAAAGAGGTATAATGTCGAATTGTTTCACACTCTTCAAAGTTGCCTAAGATCATTTCAAGAGATTGCATCACTTAGTCAACTAGACCAACGGGGAAAATTATAGGTGTCGTCACACATGGTTCACGGTAAGCTCATCACACAAGGCATTGACACCAATGTCAAACAAGACTCAACACTTTCGCTAGTGTGCAATGGTCATCACAGGAGACTCATTCGATAACCGGCTAGTCACAATGAGATGCAAAAAGTTCACATATTGCCTATGCAACTTTATTTGGCCTCATCGTAGCCGCACTTTTATTTTTGTTCGATTATGAACACTATTCAAGTCATCGATATTGATCAAGACCGATACTCAAATTTGCAAGAGAACAACCACATTCAAACACAAACAAGAGGTGGCACAAAATTTTTGGAAGGGACCAAAAATCATTTACATTTAAAATAAGGAGCCACAAGCTCAAACATCCACAAAAGGTGGGCCTCACCCTACCACGAAACAAAAGCAATTTGTCCTCAAATGCAATAAAGTATCCAAAAGTCAATAAAAAGATAAGATAGAGAGGGGAGTAAAGAGGGATCCTGTCTACACAATCGCTCTATCTATCTGGGCATCAGTGCCCGATGTAATGCTCTGAACTTGGGTCTCAGTACTCAGGATCACATCTACAGTATCACCAGCTCCACTAGGGTCAGCCAAATGTGTATCTGCCAAAAAAGTCTGCACAATTGCATCGATCATGGCCTCCTCAGTCTCTGTAAGGCCCTCATAAGAAACCTCTTTAGTAACCCCCACTACAAAAAAAACAGCATTTAGCGACTGACGAATTCCGTCGCTAAACTGGATTTGCGACGGATTTGCGACGGATTGTTGGCTGTTACTATTTCGCTCGTTAGTAATCTCTTAGCGACGAAAAAATAGTTCCGTTGCAAATTTAGCGACGTATTAGAGACGAATGATATTCGTCGCCATTCGTTAGTGACGGACTGGTCCGTCGTTATACTTATATAGTTCGTTGCTAATTTCATAATTAATTTCGTCACTTCAAATAAATTAGTGACGGAATTTCCATTACTTATCCGTCACAAAAATATTTTGTTATTTTTAGCCCGCATATTTGCCACTAATATGTTCCGTTGCTAATCCGTCGCCAATATTTTTTTTATAGCGACGACCAAATTGTCATTTAATTTGTTGCTAAAATATTACTAAATACCTCTAAAATAACAAGCATTCATATAAAATAATATTTAGAGGGTTCAAAAGTTGTAGATAGCAAATTCCAAATCACATACTTTCGGTGCAAAACATCAAAAGCAATCTATCAACTATTCTTAAGAGAACCTACATTCATCAACTATTGTCATCGCAACAATTTGTACTTTTCAAAAAGACAGTCAACATCAAAAATTAAATCTACATGAGACTAATTAAGGGATACCCTCATCACTTGAAACTACGTGATCAACCTCCTCCTCATTAGTAATAGCAGGAGGCACCATGGGTGTCACAAGTGATGGATTGTCAATGGGAGTAACCACTTGTTGTACCCGCTCCATAATAACTGGAAGAAAATGATTAGTAAGGGCAGAAATCATTTCCTTTACAAACACATCCATATTTCTTGTCGATGTTGATTGTGAAACTGAAGGTGCTACAGATGATGAGGCACAAAGATTATGCCCGTAGTAAGTTTTTGCTTTAGATCCAAGACCGTATATTCTTTTCTTCTTTTCTCCCCCGGCAGCTTGGTAGTATGCTTCACATTGATCAATATCATATTGAGAGGTTGTTTTCTCCCGTAATATTTCTTCATATTTTTCCTGTAATAAATTGAGATAGAGAGAAAACATTAAAGATTAGGAATAAAATTAAAACGGAAGGAAAAGACAGAAACATACATAAACCTTATAGTTTAACTAAATGTTCTATACTTTTTAGACAACTTACAGTACATTTAAGGTTAGATTAAAACTGTAAGTTACAGTTGTGACAACACAATATTCAACAAAATATTCATGTCCCCAACAAACACATGAAGAGACAAGTTAGAAAGTATATATGAAACAAGAGTTTTCGGCATACCAACTAAGCAGCAGCTTCAGCCTGCTAGCTCAAAGGCTGGAAAACACACGAAGACCCTGCATTCGGGTTCTTGAAGAATGCACAAGTTTGGTACCAATCAATTTTTCTATTGGAGATCTTGGAAAGTTAGTCTTGATGAATATGAAGAACTACAGAAATTTAAAACCCTACCAAAGAGAATTCGATTGGAAAAGCTTGAAATTCTCGTTCTTTCAGGATGTTCAAAGTTAAAAACATTCCGAGAAATAGAAGAGAAAATGAAGTTTGATTCACAAAATGTCATCAACTTGTAAAAAATAAACAGCACACCTCCATGGTTGATTCATTGTTGAAGCAGATGCACAAGGTAAGTACACTTCCAAGCCACAACATGAAAAACATAATATGATTGGAGAGGCTTTTGTATTTGTACTCCAAATAACATTTTTTTCACGGTGCATGCAGGTACAATTCAATAATTAAGGCTTATATGATGCACTGCAAAAACAGTTAAGAGGCTTATATCTAGTTTCTTCAGTTGACTAGATGCAGGAAAAAGTAAACTTGATGATCTAGCATTTTCCCTGTATTACTTGAAAAAACTATTGACTTTAAGAAATTTTAGATACCAGTTTGGAATTTTTGTTAGACCTATGCTTTAAGTGATGATTAAAATCATTAAATTTTATCGATTTCCCTTGTTGTATTTGATCCTTTGCAGCCAGTTGTATCTCTCGGAATGGTTAAAACATTTTACAGAAGAAAACTAGAAATTTGATTTTATTTTAACTCGAAAGTGTAAAAGATTTGGGATGGTAATAACCTGGAACGTGTAAAATGTACCAAAATTACTAGGGATTGGTCTTTCATCAAGAAATGCCAAACCAAATGCAACTGAAAACTGAGTTTATTCTTAACGGTTACTTTCCAGATTTAGACAGTGCCATTACAGTTTGCTCCATTTCCTAATGATTTAATTAATAAGTTAACCAGGCAAACATGGAAGAAGATTGAAAAAGAAATGAAAAAGAAAAGAAAAGATGATGCCAAGAACCGAGATTACATGAAGTCTACTATGCAAGAGTCTGCAGAGGACTATGATAGACCTCAAAAAGATGTACATTTGTATGTCTTAATACTACTTCCAACAGCATTTATATGCCTTAATACTACTTCCAACAGCATAAATCAACATCAGTTACCCTTTTCTCAAAAAAACAGCATAAACAAACAACATAAACCAACCATATCTTCATATACTACTTCCAACAACATAAACCTACCATATGTCTTAATACTACTTCCAACAACATTTATATGTCTTAATACTACTTCGAACAGCATAAACCAATCATATCTTCATATATTCCAACAGCATAAACCAACCATATCTTCATATACTAGAAATGAAATGAACCATTATGATAGACCTAAAAAAGAAATGTCTTTTTGCATTTTCAAAGTTTTGGACTTACATGGACAATTTGAGAGCGTTCACCAACAAAAGATTTTCCATCATTACCATGCGTATGGACGTGCAAATGTAACTCGCTTGGTGTTGGATCTCGACCCTTTTCAATAGCCTTTACAAAAGAAAATTAAAATCACTTTTTAGATACAAAAATATCTATTGCATAATGTGTATTTAGATACAAGTATATATATCAGATAACCTAAAAATGTTACTTATATAATTTGTGAAATATGTTCTTACAAGTTTCTTGCGATGTTCTCCAATTGAGATAGAGCCACCTCCGATTGCGAGATAGAGAAGAGTGAATTTCTTTTCATTTTCAGCTAGAAGTGAAGATGGAGATAATCTTTGATAGTGGTGCTTTCTCCGGGGGTTTGGACGACGACAAGTAGCTCACACGCTTAATTATGGTGCTTCCTCCGGGGATCAGAAAATAACAACAACATTGTCTTTCTCCATGACCCGCTTCTTCCAGCAGATATGTTCAAGATATGTTACAGTGACCTTTCCACATCTTTGTTCATTTGGTCCTTGCACATGGCAATTGAACAATATGAGAGGTAAGTTGTCACACAGTAAATGACACTCGAATGCTTTGTCAAACTCAATAACCAACAGGGGGGACACTGGACTCGCCATCCAGCGGAATCTAACTTATCATGTATCAGCTCTCGGGCAAGTCAACATTAACACTAGAGTGATCTGAGGAGCTATTAATCCTCATGCAAATAACTAGACCATATGTAGTCATCTCCCATATAGGATATAAGAGAGGAGAAAGTGCCACCAACGTATTGAAATTAAGGAAAACGAAGTTGAGTTGAACTTCACAGAAACATATGCATTTCTGCCATCATGCACATGATTTTATAAGACATGGTAATAGTAATAAAACAACTACCGGAGAGTTAAGTCGGAGAATCTTCAATTATAACTACAGTAGATGGTTTTATCCACACTACGCTCCACTATTAAATTAAGCTACTAAGAAATCCATTAAAAAGCAGCCCCAAATGGTAAACTCAAGCTAACGAGATCATGCATTTCGTAATTAGGTCATCCATCAAATCCCTAAAGGATGCCAGATGCCTCATATACGAAGAACAAAACTGCTTAAACTGATCACTAGGTTCAGAGAGGACTTTACATGGTGTAGATAAAACTAGCACATTACAAGAACTCGGCTCATGTATGGACAACAGTGGGGAGGCCAGAACAGAGGATGCCTATCTCCCCCTCCTACACATGGTATCATTAACACAACATCTATTTCTATAGACAATACACCTATTATAAGTGAAATCTCAACTGTTTTCTGCCAAGTACCGGACATCCTGACAACTACAGTACACTATGGAATGGAACACCTCAATCCGAAGAGAGAAAGCAAGAGAAGGGCTAAAACATGAAGGTTCATCAATCAATAAATCAACATCAACCAAATGTCAGTCGCAGGTTAATTGAGCTAGCTTCTAGTTGGGTTAGTTATTTATCTGTATAGAGGAGATGAACATAAATATATTTTGTAAAAAGCATCACCAAACAAAACTCAATCTCCAATGGTAAGAATTTCAATTAAAATGAAAAATATTTGATTTTCTTTTGCAAAGACCACTTCCACCCGTTTCAAGGAATCACGGCACCATAGCACAACCCTATTTCTAGAGGAGATGAACATAGATGAACAAAGAGAAATTACCTTTCACTTGAGGCAGCAGAAGCGTGGGAACATTTCTAGACTGAGAACGAAGGAGACATGAGCTGAGATGATGGAAGCTGAGAGGACGAGCTGAGATGGAGAGCTGAGACGGAGAGCTGAGGAAGAAAACCCTATTTTTTTAGGGAAAATGTTTTGTAGTTTCCTATTGTGTTTTGAGATTAAGAAAGGTTCAAACTTAGTTAAAATATTTTTGCAACAAACTTAGTGACAGAGTATGACATCCGTTGCTAAAAAATAATTATATTAATTTAGATTAAATTCTAGCGATGGATTTTTCCGTCACTATATAATTTAAATTCCATAAAAATATATTTATAAATCTAGCAACGCTTTTCCGTCACAAATTTAGTCGCGGAATAGTAAAAAATTTCGTCACACCTACTTTGTTGCAAAATCCGTAGCGAAAATTAGGGCGCCAATTTTTCCCGCTATTTTTTAGCGATCAAAAATATATTCCGTCACCAATCCGTCGCTATATTATAACTCAAAAAATTATTAGTAATTTTTGCAACAAAATGACTATTCCGTTGCTAATTCGTTGTTATTTAGTGACGGAATATAATTTGTCGCTAATATCCGTCGCTAAACACTGTTTTTTTAGTAGTGCCCAAGCATCTCCTCATCTGTCTCCATCTTAGACTCGGGATCAGCTGCCTCCTCAACTCGAACATCATCTCTGGTGGTAGCCGGAGGCATATCTGGCTCAACTAGCACATCTGGGATTTCCACCGTTCCAAAATTCATGGACATGTCAGTGGACTTTAGCTGGTCCATATCTCTCCTCAGTGCAGCAATATCGGCCTTTAGAGCCATCACCTCCTCGGTGGCCCCTTGGTCACGCTCACACATCACTATCCTAGCCGCTAGGGCATCAATGGTAGCGCTCAAGAGTGTCACAGAATCTGCGAGGGCTGTCTGAATCATGCCCGGAATGAAGGCTTCAAGTCTGGCGGCACGACGATCAGCAGAATGAGTGAGTTGCCCCATCCGGAGCAATGCAACCTGACTGAGCGGGAGCCGGGAGACAGTAGTAGCAGTAGCACCAGATCTGGGAGGCAATGGAGTAGTAGAGGAACTAGGTGTATCAGAAGGAATAACACATGATGTACTTGAAAGCCCAGGGGCCGGAGTGGGCAAAAGTGCATCTGCAGGTAATGCATATGTATCTACGACCGGGGAAGAGTCCATCGGGGCTGCCTTCTTCCTCTCTGCTTCATCTTTCAAGTATTCTGCCTCGATCCTACGGATGTCAGTAGAAGAGATGGGAATCACTTCCACATCCTTCTTCTCATCTATAGGCACCCGAGCTCATCTGCACAACTCGATAATCAACACCAAAAAGGGAAGGGAGGTTCGACGCTGCTTGGCCCTCATGGCCATCTCTTGCTCAACGATCATACCCAAATTTATGCGCTCTCGTGCAATGATCGAGCCAAGACAAGCCGCCTTTGTGTGGCAAAGGACGGACTCATTTTGGGATGGCATGAAAGTGCTGCTGATAAAGCCTAACCAGTACCTTGCAGCTACATGTAGGTCTTTCTTTTCTATCGGACCCCATGCCTCCAACCACCTCGGAGTACCATCACATATGATAGGGGCTAGCCAACTTTTCATGCTCTCAAAGGACTTAGTCTTTACCCTGTACTGGTGGGTGTCAGCAATGTTGTTGGTACACTCTAATACCGCATTTATATTAGTACTGTCACACAACACTTTCTTGCCCTGGACAACCATATAATCAACCGGCCTGAATTTTGCAGCCAACTTCTTCCTTTGCGACACCAAGGCTACGTAAGCAGTGTAGAACTCCTGGACCCAATTTGGAATGTACGGGCCACAAGGCTTGGTGAACAACTGGAACTTGCGAAATCTCGGGCAGCTCATAATCTCCAGGTACATGTCGATGAATCCATCAGTGGATAACCTCTTTTTTTCAATGATTGTCCTTAACCCCTCAGTTTTCAGTCTGTTCATAAACTTGGAAGGAGGACCCTGTACCAGTGGTGCTAAGACCACAACCTGTGCTGGAGCAAGAAGAGGAGTAGTGGTGGCCCGGGGAGTCCTGATCCTAGACGGATCCTTCATCCTTTTGAATTGCAGCTCTGCCCTCTGTGCTGCTACTAACTCATCATCCTCAGGCTCAGAAGTTGCAGTCTGGTGCTCCTGGTGGTCGCCCTCACTCTCATAAGTGGTGAGGTGAGTAGCGTAGATACCGTCACTGTCGGAGCTCACCTCCGGTGACACATGTGCCTTCCCTTTTCCCTTTCCTTTCCCACCAGTTGTGAGAAGTTTGATGACCTTGGCCCTGGATGCAGCTGAATCCTCGTTGATTGCTATCCCCTTGGCTTTCTTGCTGGGTGGCATGTCTCTACCAGCTACTTTAGGTCTAGCCATATTTGTAAACACATTGTAGAAAGTTAGAAACAATTCAAAAAAAATGTGCAGAAAAATAATTGCAGATAGACTCGCCGGACCAATCGGCGAGTCACTGAATTACTTTGGCGAGCCAGATCGGGCTTGATGAAAGGATTGGCTAAAAATTTCTCAGATAAATGGAATGTCGGCAATGGGAAGGGCCTTTTGGTGAATCACCGACAACATTCGACGAGCAAAGACTAGGCCACCGAAAGTTACCGTGCATTTAAGGAGTAGGGGTGTAGACAAAGGCGATCAAGGAAGATCTTCGGTGAGTCGTCGAGTGCACTCAGCAAACTCAGGATTCTCGCCGAAAGTTATCGAACCTTATTCAAGATTAAGAAAGAAATTAAAGGAGATCAGGGGAACTTCAGCGAATCGCCGAGTGATCCGGTGTGCTTGCCCGAGCGTCGCCAAACGACCCAACGTGCCTACTTTCAACCCCAACTTCCAAATTCAACCTCGCAGCCCCCAAAAAAATAAAATCAAAGCATGCACTATTACAATTAAACTAAGACCCATACTAACCATTCCCCTGGGGTACTCAGACTTCTCCCAGTTTGGCCAAATTTGGTCATTTGACAACCTTTTCCCTTAAGAATAACGTCAACCGCTCCATCATTGGGAAAAATACGCCATTAAGCACAAATGCGGGTTACTTAGACTTCACCCGACTAGACTCAACAACATTCAAGCAACACCCACAAATTTTAATATCTTTTAAGCACGAAAAATATGGGAATTTAACGATTCAGGCATTATAGGCATGATATTCAAATTAAAATAGCCACAAGCATACAATTACAATCAGAGAGGCCCAACACACATCACTAAGATAATAATCATTTGCAAAGGAATACAGATCGCTAAATATAAACTCGGGGTTTGAAAAACCAACCTTAGTTGCTGAATAAATACTTTGAAATGCTAGGCGGCAAACTAATCCAACTCCAAAAACAAATACGATGACTAAAATGCGATAAAGATGCAAAAATATGAAAAATATTGTGCGGGTGTGAGTTTGGGAAGTTCAAAAGTGAGGGAAAGTGAAAGAGTTTGAAAGTTTAAACATTTGGCCTTTAAAAATCATCCAGTTCTCGCCCATTCGGCGACATTAGTATAGCTCAACGACCCACTGGGTGACTCGCCGAGTGGGAACTTACCTCGCCGAGTTTTACAGGACCTCCAGTTAATGGGGGGGTCCAAACGACGGACTAAGTCGTGATCGCCGACATGGTCGGTGATTCGCCAATATGCTCCTGGGCTCGCCGAATTTTACAGACTCTAATTTCAAAATATCTTGAGTCCAACGGCGGTCCAAGTCGGGCTCGCCGACCTTTTAAAAGAGTCATCGACTGGACTTTCTAGCTCACCATCCT